GGGGGGAAGAATCACCTTCTTGGCTTAGCTGTCCACCTAATTTTTTACTGAGTCTTATAAGACAACTGCTGACAGAACCATTAGAAAAAATTATAAGGCTGCTTCCCATAATGGAGATGGTATAAAACCATGTTTGTTCAAAGTGACACCCACCTATCATTAGAAATTCTAAAAGAATAAGCAAAATTCCATACCCACCATTTCAACAATTTTCCTAAAGCCAAAAGTTTAGCAAAAATCCCACAAAATCTTCCACTGCAGCATAATATATCATCCCCAAATGTCTTTTTTTTTTTTCCACTCATGCCATACAGCATACTGCTATGAGGATTTCCTCTTCCAAAAGATTACAATTAGGAAAGAACTAAATATTTTTAAAGAAAACCAGAGCAATATGCACGCTGCCAGAACCAAAGGCATTTGAGAAATCTGGTGTGCATTTTCTTTTGAGTCATCCAGCAAGATTGCTCAAAAGCTTATATAACCATCTAAACCCTAACACAGAGGAACCTTGCAAGACACACAGGTATAGTCTTCAACAGAAAGGGAGAAAAGAGGAAGAAACCTTAAAAGTAAGCTAAGCAGAGGATTCACGAGAACTCACAGTATCACCGTCTGTTTCAGGCACATTTAAATACGTCCATTTTCTGTCAGAGCCTTCTGGGGAGCTCTTTAAAGAAAGCAGGGCAAAAGGGCAAGAGAAAAGAGCATTACATAGCTGCAGTAAGAAAGAATAAGTGCAGTGACAAATCTTTACCTATACAGACAAGGAAAAGGAACTTTGCATTGCAAAGCCATAGCAAGCAAGCAAGCAAAACGTATCATCAAATCAGAGGAAAGCTAAGTGTTTTCCATATACTTTCAAGTACTGAAGGACACGTGCGTGGCTCAAGGTAATTAAACAGAAACAAAGTATCTGCTGTACCAAAATTAACAAATTACATTTTAGAACATCAGCTCAGCAGATTTGGAATTTGTATCAGACTGTGTTTGGATTTGTCCTCATTTATGTCTGCATAAAGTCAATTCTCACTTAAGCTACTCAAAAGCTAAGCATTCATGTATTTGTAGGATTGGTGCCTTTGTAAGAAATTGCAGTTTCTCTGCGGAGTTTGTAAGAATGGACAAAAATGCAAATGTTTAAACATGTCACTGTCTGGGAAAAAAAATATACAATAACAGAATATCGGGGGAAACATTTTCCCCACCTTTGTTTGCTAGAGGATTATCTGGAAACATCACCAAGGAGCTCAAGGGAAACTGCATCTTGATCTACCTCTTTCCTTATCAGCTGCAGGGAGGAAGGAAGAACACACAAAAAAAATTGGCCTGTGGCAATACTCGTCTCTCGGGCACCTTGCCTAAGGGCCCTGCAGCAAAGAAAGCTGGAGGGATAAGCAGGTCTGTATCAATATGGCAAGCAACAGACACTAAAAACCAGAACAAGCAATTGTTATCCAGAAAGTTAATTTTATACGTCATGTAGGAATAACAAACAGCAAAAAGGGTGGGTTTTTGTATTTCTGCTGGCCTTCTTTATCCCTCATTTGAAAAAAAGAAAAAAGCTTGTCCTTTTATTCCTTTGTACAATTGGCTGAAATTTTATGAACAGGACTGGTTACAATTACTGGAGAATCAGCAACACACACCAACAAACATGTCATATTTCCTCCTATTCCTAACATGCCTCGAGCTAAATTCCAGCCTTTACCATTTATGCATTTCCACCTCTAGCACACATGAAAATGGGTATCCTTGGATTAGTGAATTTACCAGTTCCAGCAAGAGCTACAAAATGCCTAAATTATCCTTGTAACAAGAAAGCAACAAGCTGTGTGCCCACTTCAGAAAAAAACCAAGGTTATACTAACACGAGGAGGAGGATGAGTTCTTCTCTACTGAATCCAAAAGTTCTTTTCCTTGATCCTCCGTTAAGTAGTCAGCGAGGGATAAACGATTGGGAAAAACACCCCACAGAGAGTCCTAAACAAATAGGTGACTTCTGACCCCAGAATTTATGCAAACACAATTTCTGAATTGTTTACAAATCACACACAAAATAACACAAATTTTGTAGAAGTATTTGATATACTTGATTTTTTTTCTCCACAGACTCTGTTCTGTGGCATTTACACTGGACATCACATACACTAAATCTAATGTCCTTAAGAAATCTACTCATTATCCAGTTTCATAAGTAGTAAACAACCACCAGATACAGAGGATGGCAGAGCCCCATTTTAGCACCTCACTAAGAATTACATTTGTTATGCATCATATCTTATTGCTGCAGTAAGGCAGTGAAACAATTAAGTCTTACTCATGTGATAAGTCTTGACAATGCCACGTTAATATGTTTAGAAGAGAAAACGGTGAAGGATGCGGGGAAAACTAAAGACACAGTTCATCTATTAGCTTTGGGAAAACACAAAGAAAAACACCCTAATTCTGAGATACAGTTCCTGTTCAATGTCACTTTCCGTTTCCATTTTTGCTCACTCATGTTACTGGCAAGTTTCAAGTGTATTTACCCTTTAAGGTATTTATTTCTTCCTTTACTTCAAATGCTCATTGTCAGAGTAGTCATACTGTACTTCAATTTCTCATATTTGAAAAAATAAAGAAAAAATAAATAAAAAACATGCAGTTAGAGCCTATTGTTCATTAATAACATTATTTCAACATGACTTCATAGTACACAGTCATTTGACAGATAAGTACACGGAAAAAAAACATACAGTGCAGAAGGCTCAAAGGCTAACAACAAGCAGAGTAAAGGCAAAAATAAGAGAGGGGGGAACGTTAGTAACTAGCAACACACACTTAAGGGAAACGAAAAAAAAAAACAAAAAACTTGTAAAATTGACCTGCTCTTGCAGGGAGCAGCAGCTTGCCGCTCGCAACTTTGCCATTAACATAGCACGCAGTGACATTAAAAAATCATGTCATGGTGAATACAGAGAAACGAGAGCATCGAGATGTGAGATTATCTCAAAGCTACAGGACTGGAAAAGCTACGCTCTGCTTCAGAAAAAGGTCAAAGGGAAATCTACAGCAAAGGACAAAACCCAGTGCACAGACAGAATGCTGCCTCCAGCACATAAAGGGAAGGCTCTCTAAACGCAGTTCCTCAATTAGAGGCCTAAACGGAGAAAGCACTTAAGCACCTACAATCCTCATACCAATATTGAAAGGAAATAAAAATAATTCTGTCTATAAAATCCACGGGATCAGCAAGCATCGGAAGCAATGAGTCATGGTCAGCCTTGGGTAACTGGGTCTGATTAGACCAGTGTCAACAGGGTACATTTGCTCAAGACTGATTTGGCGTAAGGTGCCACGCACCTCTGTTGTGTCTGTTTCTGTGAACTACACAAATCAGAAGGGAAAAGGATCTGGATGTGGCCAAAATACTCTGCGATGGCAATTTTCTCAGCTCTTTCTCTTCCTCAGGTAAGCCAAACTTGGATTCAGCCAGCTCCACCTCTCTAGGACCAAGAATTTAAGCAGGCATTCCCTGGGCCCTGCTTGCATGGGAGCTAATAGGGATGCAGGCTAGAAAGGACAGTTGACTGGTTACTGCCATGGACCAAGTATTCTCTTCCTTCTTAGCATACAGACTCCTCATCTCTCTTCATCCTCTTCAACTCTCTTATCTTCTCTCTGGAGTTTGTTGCAGTTTTCTGATACTCTATATGCTGACCAGAGCTATTCTTAGGCACAAGTCATGAATAAGTGTGGCCAGAGAGGGCTCCATGACTTTTCTGAAGATGTTATCAGTTGCCTACTTCCTAAGCACCAGGATCCCAAATACGAGTTACACAGCAGGTAGTCATAAAGGAGACATCTTAAAGGCTACTTTTATCATCCATTTTCTTTCCCAGTGAATAACAGACAGCATAATGAACTGCGTTAAGGCTTGTTATACCAATTTTCTTGCATCTCAAGTACCTGTTACAACCTGAAAATGCAGCTATCCTTTTAAAACCAAGGTAAGTTGCAACAGTTAGACAACTATAAGACTCAGACATCTGATTTACAGCATATAGTTTGTGGGTATGACAAGAAACAAACGGATATTACAGAAAAATATTACAATTATTGCAGAAGGTAGAAAAGTGGTCACCAACCAAAATCCCCAAGTATCTCCCTCCTCACTGTAAGGAGAAATACTTTTCAGATACGCATGGCATAGCAATCGTCACAAAGAATGGGGGAAGCTGGGTTGGGGGATGGACGTTGCCACCACAGAAGTGGTATGTATGCAAACACACAGACAGGTATTTTTGTCCCAAGAACTTGAACACTCAGAAAGTGGTTTCAGATGGAAGATCCCACCACAGCCTTGTTCTATTCATTTCAAGTAAATTAGGATTAAGTGCTCCTCTGCAAAGATGAGCACTCAAGTACTGCAAACACCTACGGGTTTTGCCTTCTCCACATGCCAGCCTGGTGGTAACCTAAGCACGTGTGGAAATCTGCTGATGAGTAAGCAAAATGGTTTCCTCTTCCCATGCACTGCAGAGAACAGCATTTTAGCTTTGAACAGCATTTAAAATATGTTAGAAAAACTATCTACATATACAAGGATGTTTCTCAAGCGCAGGATGAAAGATGATTGTAGCTAGGTAGCATGAAGTTAAACTCCTTTTTGGAGCAACAATGGTCTTTTGTGGAAGGGAAAAGCAGATGTTTTCTACTCAAGATCTTACTGTTGATAATCCACTTGTCAACTGTCCATGTTTCCTTGAATAACGAGAGGCCATTATCTCATCAATATCTCCTTCTGTTTCATCCAGATAATCCTAAATGACAAACAGGCATTTTAGTTGTCCTGTTCTGCTCTGTATTTGGTCAGCCTCTGTCGCTTAGTTTTGTTTCGTATATTTTTCACTTCAGGAAGATGGTGCAGGATGCATTCAAAATTCTAATCTCTAGAGGAATTTCGATTTACATTTTCTACATCTTTGCACAGGCACACAGCATAAGGGGAGAAGACACTGTGAGGGTTTCAGGGTTCAATTGCTTAAGAACTGAAAAACTCGACACAAATACTTCACATCTTATTCTGAAGGCTCATACCTTTGCATGGCCAACAACCATGCACATAAACAAAACCCACTTCCATGCCTGCTAACAATCCCATGTGAATTACCTTACCCTACTTACTACTGTTTCCACTCAGGAATTCAGGTCTGGAAAGCTTAGAGGGACACAATGGGAATTTTTCAAATCTTAACAAAAGAAATGAGTGAATTAAGGTCCGATACCAGGGGATCATTGATATTGGTTTACCATTTGTAGCCAGAAGACATTAGATGATTGATTTCTTGGTTACCGTCCAGGTTCCACGTTTTTTGTGGGAATTATTTTTTACAACCCAGCAAATCCAGTTTTCCAATTATTATCCACATGTATATCAGTCACACTCCCACAAACTGACAAGCACACAATTTGCATTACACTTGCACCCTTTCACGCTGTCTTTGGTGAGAGGCAATGATTTTGTGAACGAGCTCATTAACACAAACCCACTTTCTAACAAGCAGTGCTGAAAGCCCTGGATTATTGTCAAACCACATGGGAAGAAACTTGTCCTGCCGTTATACACACTCAATATAGTTGAGGGGTAAACAAAACAAACAGTTTATGTGCATGGTTTGAAAATAATTAAACTCCTGTATTATTTTAATAATTTAAAAAAGCGGGAGGAGGGGAGTAAAAAAATCAGTAATTGCACAGCTTCATATATCTGCCTGAGTTTTAATAAGCAAGACTGAACTGTAATATCATTAGCTCACATACAGGAAAAAAAATGTTCATTTTTTAAACACAGCAATAAAGTAAAATCTAAAAAGAAACTTAAAACCTGGTTGATGGTCTTAACAGGACTGCTAACTTTAAGTTACAGGAGAAAAAACCCAACAGCTATCATTGTATTAAATGTATTAAAGAAACTTAAAACCTGGTTGATGGTCTTAATAGGACTGCTAACTTTAAGTAAAAGTCACAGGAGAAAAAAAACAACAGACAGCTATCATCGTATTAAATGTATCGGAAATTTCAAGTGTTTCCTTAAACCTTATGGCAGGTATTTTGAAAGATTCTGCTTTTAGCTTTAATGGAAGTCAAACATTCAGCTTCCTTATATCTGCTTTGCAGCTACAAAAATCTCGTGTGGTAACCTACCTCATTCTCTATTGCTTAGTCGCTCTCACTCTCCTAAACTAAACAGAGAAGTACTGTATTCAAACTCAGGAGTCTCAAAGGCTTCTATCAGGAAAAACAGCAGAGAAGAAATGCTGCTGGAGAGTTGAACTGTCACAGTTCATGTAAAGATGGGCAGAGCATTTGTCATTAGTATGGATAAACCCAGCCGTTACATCCGTTCTCCTTTGCTCCAGTGACTGAACTGAAATAAAACCAGCTGAAAGTGACGCAAAGTTTTCTATTACTACCTTCCAATTGTAACTGCATATTTAATATTGCACAGAGGGGAACCAGGACAAGCCATCATTCTATTTGGGACCAAAATTTTCATACAGAAACAAACATTCTTCTTAGCTTCATGTTCTTACCATGAGCTTCCTCTGCTGGTTCAGGGCATTGTTACTACCCCACAGAAAAAAGAAGTCATAGTTATTTTGTACTCCAAGGAAAAAGTCCATGGAGACCCAGGCACAACAGAGCAAACTATTTCAGGAAGATTGGGAGCTGAAAGTAAAAACAAACAAACAAAAAACCCTAAAATAAGAACAAAAAACCCCTCCCCACCCTTCACTTCTACTCTCCTCATTGACTTCAGAATTCAGGTGACATACTCAAGTGTAAAACTTGGTACAAGAATACACAGTTTTCTTTCTTGCTCATACAACAGCAAACAGCAAGTCTGGTAACACACGCAAAACTCCTTCCTTTATGCTGTTGTAGACAAACCTGTGGACTTTGAAATAAATGATGGTACATTTTTATTGCTGAATAATTAAATACAGCACAAAAAAACAGTACGGCAACATCTTTAGACTGGGGTGCTTCAGGTCTAGACACTCAAATATTAACAGTGCTTCACAGAGAATCCTAACAGCAGCTAGCCGACTACCAACTTCTAGCTGCAAGCAGATATCTAAACCCAGAAAAACACCACCCCAACCTATTTAACCTATGCTCGTAATTCATTTTGCACCACAATGATTATGTTTCTCAGGAGGTGTTATAGAACTGCAACCACATAATTGGTTAGTGTTATTAGCTTATTAAAGTTGGAGCTAGTAAGGGATTAATCTCATTGTCTCCAGTGGGGGTTATAAAACGCACATTATCCAATTACTTCTAATAAAGCAGCTGAGCATGTAACGAACACTACTTGGTCAGGATTTCAACACACACCTCTCTAGGTAAGGTGCTCACACTTGAACACAACACCAGATTTAACTGATTCCCCATAATCCTCAATAAATACATTCTGCAGAACGCAGATTTCTGAGGGCTGTCCCTTTTCATTATCACACTAAGAGCGATGTTAAGTTAGAGAAGCAAAATACTCATTCAATTTTCCAGCTGATGTCTCTGTATGTGTAATGGGTTTTCCTGATAAAGCTAGGAGCAGAGCGGCTAAAAGCCTTCTCCCACCCTGTCAGCCGACAAATTCCAGCAATCTGCATATCCTATTGACACGTGGCATCTCCCACACCACTGCTGTCAGCTCCCGTCACCCCGGAATGAGACTGAAGGACCTCAGCTAGCTCCACCAGCTGGCCAGGAGAAAAGGAGGTATAACTTCTCTCAGGCTGCAAGAGCTGTTGGTATCTTCACCAAATAACTTTCTTTTTGCCTCTTATACTGAGCACCAAATAAACTAAACTCCAGCAATAATACAACTTTTATCTCAAAACACTGCATCCATAATGAATATGGGGCAAGACTCTGAAGGACTCCTGTAAGTCAAACTACTCTAAAAAAACCCCTAAAGCTGATGAATGCAATCAATTTATTTCATAAGACAGAACAACAAGGACATGGGTAGAATCAGAGATCTATGAACTGCATTATGAGAGAAGCTTAAAGGGGAATTAGCATTGTCACAGACCCCAGAGCAACTGAATCAAGGTTATGCCACAAGAGAGGTCTCCTATGTCAGCAAAGAGACTTGCTGAAACGCAACCTGTAATTTCATTCAGAGTCAGCAAGAAGAAAAAAAAAAAAAAACAAAAAAAACAAACAAAAAAAAACCTCTGAATAAAAGGAAGACAAGAATCAAAGAACAGAAAACTGCTCTGGACTTGGCATCTCTGGCACCTGCCTCAGAGAAATCCCTAAGTGATAACTACTGCACCCTGTACAATTAGAGCAAAAAACTGACAGAAAAAGATATGTAAAGTTTGTAATTTCTTATTTTATGCTTTTCTTCTGCAATATTTTCCAGCCTCTTAATCGAGAAAACATTGGGTTTATTTACTACAATTAAAAAATAAATGACTTATTTTTGAAGATTTTCTTCCACAGAAATCTGACACACAGGAAGGGCTTTTTTAATTTCCTTCAAGATTAACCCAAACAAAGCAATGCTGCAGGCAAATTCTCCAAGCGCTTACAATCCAAGAAACAGATGGCAATCACAGCACATTGTTTTCCACCAAGCCGCAGGTATCAAATCTACAAGAAGGGGAGACACCTCCCATGGCTGATGTTCTTCTGAAAAGAGCAAACTGTGACAACAGACAAAATGCACAAACCATAACGCAGAGGTTATGGGTTTTTAAGCTACAAACACACATTTGGAAACTTCAGAACAAACTATGATTAGATGAAGAACTATTTAAATGACTCTTCTTTTTTTTCCCCCCCCTCATGCATATGTAACAAGCTTGGAAATTGGCTTTTTTTTAGCATTGATGCACATCTGCAACTTGTGTATCTTGGATGTGTGTGTAAGAGGAGATGGACATTGTGAATCACTTCAGGAAGAGCAGCCTGGAGAATACATAGAAAAAGGCACAGAGATGTATGGGAGAGAACAGCGAACAGGAAGAAGAGGCAAGCAGCAGTGACAGAAAAGAAAGTTGGGGCTTCATTCGCTGAAAATATATGTAAAGGGAAAATCAAAAGCAGACAAAGATTAATGCCTTGAAAGTATAGCATTTCTCAGCACCAAAATTAAAATCTAAGAAGGTGAGAATTAACAGAACTTTGAGGTATGTATAATATAGTGCTTGAAATTTATTTTCAGGCCAGATTTCTTTCACCTGTAAACTAAAAATCCCAGCAAATTGATAACAAACTGTAGCCGTGACTATTCATTGGAATCATTCTACAGCTAACTTACTCAAAATATGAAACTGTTGAAAAACTCATTAAAGATTCCTGAAACAATGCTCTGCATTACTTATATTTTACATAGATACACATACAGTGCTGATTTCATAAGTCTGAACAAACAGGATTTCCACCAGATAAGCATTTACATATTTCTAACTCACCAGTTCCTGATCTAAGGCACTAGGTACAGATTTGCTTCTTATGCTCAGAGTATCCTCATTTCCTTCAGAGAAAGATTCACTCAAATCTATCTCAGATCGGCTACGATCTGGAAAATAAAAACAATTAAAACATTTGCTATAACTTGTACAAAAATATTCTTTTTCATCTTCCACACTTTAGTAAGCGTTGTCTCAAACCCAATTGCTTTTTAAGAAAAAAAAAATCAAAACAACATTTTAGGTATCTGTCACAAAGTCTATGACAAATGAACATCAATATGCTTTCTGATGCTGTTCAGCCTTCTGGCCCATACTTTTCCCCCTGCACTATTTATCTGCTGTAGTCATCTCCTGTGGATGATATTAGAGATCAAGACTTTGAATTTCTCTGGTAGGCCTGTCAGCCTAGAATATTGCAAAACTCGCAGTCCAAGCGTTCACAGCGATTATCACATCTCCCACCACCACCAACTGTGCCCAGTGTCTGCTTCAAAATTAAGTAACTAGGGATACAGATGGACGTAGAAAGTACTTCTGTCACTACTGGTGTTCTCTGGGCAGAAAGGAGGAGGAAATGAACAAGTCTTGAGACCTGCACGAGTTTCTTTCAGCCCTACGGTTCTCATCCACTCTATAGGCATAAGATACATTAAATGTCTTGGAGAAAGATTTTCTTAGCCATATAAATATTTTGCGCAACTTTTCAATATCACATCACCATAGAATGGTTTGGGTTGGAAGGGACCTTAAAGACCAACCCGTTCCAACCCCCCTGGACACCTTCCACCAGACCAGGCTGCTCCAAGCCCCATCCAGCCTGGCCTTGAACACTGCCAGGGAGGGGGCAGCCACAGCTTCTCTGGGCAACCCGTGCCAGTGTCTCACCACCTTCACAGGAAAGAACTTCTTCCTTATATCTAATCTAAATCTCCCCTCTTCCAATTTGAAACCATTACCTCTCGCCTCATCACTGTACTCCCTGACCAAGAGTCCCTCCCCACCTTTCCTGCAGGCCCCCTTTAAGCACTGGAAGGCTGCTGTAAGGTCTCCCCGGAGCCTTCTCTTCTCCAGGCTGAACAACCCCAACTCTCTCAGCCTGTTCTCACAGGGGACATGCTCCAGCCCCCTGGTCATCTTCATGGCCCTCCTCTGGGAGCTCGAGCAAGTCCATATCTGTCTTATGCTGGGGTCCCCAGAGCTGGACACAGCACTGTAGGAGGGGTCTCACCAGAGCAGAGTAGAGGGGCAGAATCACCTCCCTCGACCTGCTGGCCACACCTCTCTTCACGCAGCCCAGGATGCGATTGGCTTTCTGGGCTGTGAGCTCACGTTCAGTTTTTCAACCACCAACACCCTTATGTCCTTCTCCGCAGGGCTGCTCTCAACCCACTCACTGCCCAGCCTGGTGCTTGGGATTGATCTGTGCTTGGGATTGATGCAACCCAGGTGCAGGACCTTGCACTTGGTCTTGTTGAACTTCATGATAACAGAAAATGAAATGAAGGAAATTACAGGTGAATCAACTGTTTCAGTGCACCACGTATAAAAATGAAATCATAGACTCATTAAATAGTTTGGGTCGGAAGTGACATTCAAAGGTCACCTAGTCTGAGCTCCCTGCAGTCAGTAGGGACATCTTTAGCTAGATCAGGTTGCTCAGAGCCCCATCCAACCTGACCTTGAATGTTTCCAGGGATGGGGCTTTCTAACACATCTCTGGGCAGCCTGTGTTTCACCACCCTCGTTGTAAAAAAAAAAACCAAATTTCCTCACATCTAGTCTAAATCTACTCTCTTCTAGTTTGAAACCATTACTCCTTTTCCTGTCGCAACAGACTGCTAAAAAGATTACATCCATCCTTCTTATAGGCCCCTTTTAAGTACTGAAAGGCCGCTGTAAGGTCTCTCCTTCTCTTCTCCAGGCTGAACAACCCCAACTTTCTCAGCTTGTCCTCACAGAAGAAGTACTACAGCCCCCTAGTCATTTTTGTGGACCTCCTTTGGACTCGCTCCAATAGGTCCATAACATGAAGTCTCTAAGGGACTTGGTCTCCAACAGCTTATTTTTTCCGAAATTTGCTTCTGGGCAAAGTGGGTGTGAAATGTAATGGCAGCAGAGCAGCAGTATTTTATACAGATTACAGATAGGTAGTATTTTATACAGTTGACTGCACAGAGGATGATTTAACAATTTGCAATTATGAATGAAATCTTACAAAAATTCTAAGAGCACGTGATTTACCCAATACTAGCATTGTGCCAGCATTACTGGGGTTAGGATTACCATTTTTTCAAATGTAAAGCTTGTGAAGTTGTATGAACTTGGTTAGTAAAAGGGAAGAATTTTCAGACTGAATACGAACAAATTTATGAAGCTTACATCTGCTCTTTCAACGTGCTTTAAAAACAAAAGGAGCAGACTCATAAGAACAGGAACACTCCCCTGATAACAAAGGCTGGCAGAAAGAAGGAAAAGAGTTAATACTTGCCTGATGACAAAGATACCCTAGAAACCGCAATGGAAGGTGTTCCAGATGCTTTCCTACAGTGCTGCTTTACTAAATCTTCAGGCACACTTTCACTTGCTGGAATAATCATGCCATTTTCTGAGCCAGTGTCCTGCCCAATAAGAAAAATGCACATCCCATAAATAAAAAAGTAAGCTTATTCACTATCAGTCTACAAAAGCACCATTTCTATTAGCTCCCAGAACTCCAAAGCTCCTTTAGCATCCAGTCTGTTACTGAATAGATTACAATCTAATCCACTTTGCTTAGCACAGATCATGCATAAAATTTGCACAAAGATGCGATCCATACATACATTCTGAGCTTGCAATTGAAGAATCAGAGCAATGCACCAGCAGTGAGAAGAGGCAAGAGAAACACTCAAATCTATTAAAAGTTCACTTAGCTTGGAAATTAAAAAAAAAAAAAAAAAAAAAAAGATAAAACCTATTGTTTTTTCTACCAGCATAATGATTTCACTCATGGTAAAACCAAATGGACTTGGAGTAATTAAATTACGCCAGTATGACCCCTGAAATAAAGCCAATACACTTGATATGATTATGGCTTTTTGCCTTCCTGTAAGGGAATAGCTAACGACATAACTCCATCTAAATTAAATGGATTGGCCTTTTTCAACCAAATCTAATGCACTTGAAATCAAGTCAGTATGTGTTCCACAACAATACAAATAAAACTACTACTAATCTATTTAGAGCTCCTGAAACTGCCCTTCATATATACTAACTTAATTTCTATTAAGACAGACAATATATTAGACCAAGTATTTAGAAGTTAGAAAAAAAATCAACACGTTCAATACGGCTCTGACCTCAAATGCTCATCTACTTTTTTCCAAAAATTAATGGTAAAAGGCATTACCTCAGACTATAAATTTCATTCCTTGTACATTAAGTCATGGCAACTCTGAATAACTTGCTAGTACATCCTTAAGAGGGGTGACTGAAACAAATTCAGGATGGGGGTCTCAGTACACAGCCAGGAGTTGCTGCTGGACAAACAGGCAGGCTGTCTGGGAACAGAGAGAGTATCTGGCTAGATGAGCCACATCCTCCTGCTTATTTACAAAACAGCCAAGGTGGCTAGCTAAGACGTGGCCACCTACGACCCAAGAGGCCTAACAGCAGGCAAGAGGAATCCCACCTTTCATTTTGATCAGGCATACATTTTGTGTTATGCCATAATTTATGCAGAACCCCACGTCCAAATCCAGAAAAAACTAAAATCAGTATGGCCTGATCATCTGCAAGTGCTGAGCTTGCAAAGTTTCGCTTAGAAGTCAGTGGGAGCATGCTGGACCCTGCAGGCCTGAAAGATACCTCATTAGCTCACCAGACTTACTCAAGGCCCTGAAGTACCAAAAATGCTTACCCCCACCCCTTGCACTTCCCAGTTCAGAATCTGTAACTCATTACGTAATGCTGGACATTAACAACGATTTTTAGACAAAAGAAAAATGTCTGCCAAACCAAAAACCACATCACTGATAGAGCATGACAAATTCTGTTCTAGTCGAGATCTTTAATGGTCCCAGCAGAATTAGGGAAGAAACAAAATCTCAGTCAGGCTTCTCCTGTCTGGGCTACAAATCGATCCTAGAGGGCAGATATCAGCCAAGTCATCTTGTCTGGTGTCAGCTCGACATGACTGTACTTACCCTGCTATAATCTGCAGTCATGCTGCGCATGCCGAGTGCCAGAGACCTCGTGAGGGAAGGTATGGAAACACTGCCTCTGTCCACAGGACCCACGGCCCCTTTCAGGTGGCCTGCAGCAGCCTCTGCATCACTGCTGTTCAGCGAAAGGGTGCTCCCTCTGGGACGGAGAGAAGAACATCTAAGTGTTATTGCTTTGAGCAAACCAAGGGAACCCATTTAGCAAACCACTGCAAGAAAACAGCTGTGGTAACAGTCTACCAGAACAACACTGCCCTGGATGAACTGTGGGATCCACTGCAAGGAAATAGTCACCTGGAAAGAAAGACACAGGCAAAGGTGAATTACAATTACTTTATACAAGTAATAAATATTTTCAGCACTTCTACCACAACAGCGAACAGTCCAAAAGTTCTTGCCCAGGCTGCAGAAGTTCCACGTATCCATGTTCATTTTGCACTGCAATGGCATCCCAACAGCAGGTACAACGACTCCTGTAACACTTCCTACCAGACTGCTCCTGGGTTTAAAGGAAAACTACATCGACATGACAGTTGTGGCCACTCTGCAGCCAACGTTAATGCCAGCACCATCTCCAGAAAGTCTAAAATCTTTGGCTGTCTGCTCTCCGTCCTTTCCAGAAAAACAACTTGTTCACTGTCCTATTTATATTGCAGTAATGACCCTTGACCCGAACTGGTCAATTCTTTCAACCAGCATGGAAAGCTAGGAAAGCTGGACAAGTCTTTTTGCCAGGTTTCACGTCAGTAAAAAGTGACAAAAAAGCATCTGTGATCAGCATATCAGAACTCAATTGCTGTCTATTACCACAACAGGCAGAAATTTTTCCATGGTACATTCTCTATTAGAAAATACTGATTAGTCCATGTGAACACTGAGGGTTAGAAAGGGTAAACTCTTGCACTTTTTTGACCTTTTGAAACAACAGAAATTATTTCTGAATGTATTTCAAGCTGGAGAGGTGGGCCCAGGTGAACCTCATGAGGTTCAACAAGGACAAGTGCATGGTCCTGCACCTGGGCTGGGGCAACTGCCGGTGTCAATACAGGCTGGGAGAAGACATGCTAGAGAGCAGCCCTGTGGAAACAGACTTGGGGGTACTAGTGGATGAAAAGCTGGATATGAGCCACCACAATGCACAAAATACAAGTTCTTAGCTGATCTACTCTTCTTTCTCCACAAACGTCAATTCAAACTTTTTCATTTTTCTTCACAATTCAGAGAAATCTCAAAAAGTCTTGCAGGACAGCAACAATTCTGCATATATTCCTACTTACTACTATTAAAAAAATTACTGGTAAATAGGAATTGATGAAGGAATTGCATCCTTTTCATATGGAAAATACAATGTCAGACGACAATAGTAGTGCAAATTTGCTGGAGAAAATTTTTGCAACTTACAGCATATTTTCAGCCAAAAGAGGCTTGCTTAATAAATATTTCAGATTTGCAGGCATTTTCATTGTGCTGGACAACTGCTGAATTTCATCTTCACTTGGTTTAGGCTGTCATATCGTGTTTAGAGTAACTGCAGCAAAAATCTTCCCTACCACAATGGAAATTTTTATTAGAACTACTGTTAAACTGAGGAAGAAACACTCTGGAACACAACTCCTGTCTCATCACTACATTAAGCAGGGAGCACAGGCTCTGAATCCACATTGGTGCAGTTTCTGAAAACAAGGAATACAAAGGAAAACCCCAAACACCAGGACTGTCTGCAAATGTTGTGCAACCATGTTTTCGTCTTTTAGTGAGCATACGGTAACTTATTTAACAATTACTATCCAATTTCATATATCAACAACAGTAGATAATGCATAATAAACAAGCCCTTATGCATGTGCACTTCACAGACATGCACTGCTACTTTTTAATTTGATGAGCTTGTGATCAACAAATCATACTAAATGTGCTTTGGTTTAATTTTAGTCCTATCTGTTTACATAAAGATCTGTCTTTGGTGCTGCAAAGTCAAAAAATCAAGGTTACTGGCTGTCATCTGTATTTTGTCAAAGCTGCTGGACTTAGATGGACACACCTTTATTTCCAAACCTGCCGGCGTATGGAAAGTAGCCAAAATGTTGAGAACCTAAGTTTTATGTTATGGCACACCACTTTTGATGGACTGCTGTGACTTTCTGTTACAAAAACTGTCGTTGCTGACTTTTTTTTCCCTCACTGTAAACTAATGTTAATCAAGAGAAGTGTTCAGAAGTAATAGTGGGCTGGTATAAAAGATCTGAAAACATGTTACAAGAGGTTCTGCAGGAGTCATCAGTCAGACTAAGCACTCGCACACCAAACTGGCTAAACAGACCCCTCCTGTACTTTGCCCTTATTTCAGTCTGCTTCTAGAGAGAGGTTCTACACATTTTACAAGCATATTAAGTAGAAAACAAAAGAAAAATGTTGTTATAAGGTGACTATGCCAGGTATTTTCATGTGGTAGACAAGACCTCAGTACGACGGAGTAGTGCGTCTGTGCAGATGAGCCTGAAATTCCTACGCTATTTCTCCTAGAAGTATCCTGATGCAGCCTCCCAGTTCATTCAGTTGCAAAATCAGTAAATATTTTTGCTGCAGTAGAAATAAACCAGTTGAAGAGATGAAGTCATGGTCTGGGACTCCCTGTTCCCAGCTCAGTACATCTTCTCTTAAGGAGAATTGTTTAGATAGAATAAAAATTCTCTCAGTTCCCCTGCTGGTAGATGAAACACCACCAATTTTGGCGATGCAGCTAAAAAGATGACGGCGATTACAAAAATCCAGATATATGCAGGAAAATCTAGGACAGCTACAGTGTCACAAGATGTTGTATTCTTTTAATTCGAAACTCAAAGCAGTTACAGAGGGTAGCCTGGGAAGCTTTGCTGTCATTTTTAATAATTACTACTCAGTGCTATAAATTAACGATAGATGAACTAAAGCAAGCATCCTCAGATATCTAATTAAGTATTTAACCATACATGTACAAGACAGGAATTTTTATCCCTCTACTAAGAAATACAAGCTGCTCCTCATCCTTCCACAAACTAATATTTAGAAAGTGCTGTACCTTCCATGGACAGTAAAATAATTCGTGCCCTCTACCAAAAACATCTCCTGGCAACACAGCTAGGTTACTATGTACTTCGACACAGGACACCAATTTGAATAGATAAGGAAGAGATGACAGGTAGAGGAGGAAGTTGCCATAATGACTTAATGCACCTAATTTAATAAATCCTGCACCCTGTCTCTGGGTGAAAACTAGGAATTGATGTTTTATGTGAAAGTTAAGCAAGACAATCAAACATAAAGGCTATTTTTATAGACTACTTCACTCTAGTTATCCTTCTAAGTCTGTACACATAGCTTATCAGGTGCTCAATTCTACCACCACAAACAAAATTATTTTGCTTCATTATGGTTAACTGCATGGTAACTTTCTTGCATACCACCACAAACAAAATTATTTTGCTTCATTCATGGTTAACCGCATGGTAACTTTCTTGCGGTCTGGCACATCAAAACAGCTGCACAGATCTCTCACAAGCATCCCTTTGTCCTTATTCTGGTAAATTCTTAGAGAAAGTTACTTAATATTGCAAAACCTTAGTGTCAAGCAGCAGAGACACCAGATTCCTGAGTTTTTTGTCTCATATCCTTCACTCATCTCTACTCTATTCAACGAAAAGCAAAACAAATCCAGAAAAACAGCAAAAATACTTTTTCTGGGCTCATAAGAGTCAGGTATGAATCCAGTTAGATACAGAAGGACTAATTAGCTTAGTGCAAAAAAAAACAAACTACAAAATCACTTAGTGAACTGTTTATGGATTCAAGAAGAAAATTAGCTTTAAAGCTGATTTCGCTAGTAACTGCTGCAGCAACCAGTGGAAAAAAAAATAAATCAAATTATCAACTTTTAAGAAGATTATCATCATCAACTTCAGGCCTGTTGCAAAACATCCAACAATCGGGTTTTTGAATTGTAGGTAACAAAGGGAAGCAAGTTCTTGCTTAAATAAGAAGGCTCATCTGTCCCAACACTGGACACTTTTAAGATTCAGCTGGGCAGGGTGCTGGGCCATCTTGTCTAGACCACGCTTTTGCCAAGAAAGGTTGGACCAGATGATCCTTGAGGTCCCTTCCAACCTGATATTCTATGATTCTATGAACTAAACTTCATGATGTTCCTTTTACCTGATATACTGTGTTCCTGTATACCTATTTGGAAGCGCACAGGAACACTGTTTTAGAGCTTGAAGTTTCTATTGTATCTTAGAGCAAATTATTTTTCAAGCCAGACTGTGAAGTTCGTGGGTCTACATCCAGTATAGACTACCCAACTGAACAAGAAAATAGTGAGCTATTTTTTGGCTTTATTTTGGAGGCAGGACATGAGAAGAATGTTGCATCTGGCATTTTATAATGCTATCAGAGGCAATAACAGAGATCTCTTAAGCTCAGAAGAATGATGAATGGAATTCTATTAGAAATAACTGGGACAATAATCATGGAAAGAGAAAGACAAACAGACCCTTTGAAAAAGAAAGTATAAATTATAATCAATTAACATGTCATTACCAAACAAAAACTTTGGAACAAAGGGCCTCAGTTCTGTAACAGGAACACAGCTCATCAATTAAAAGCCAGAAAACAAAAGACAACATACTGACAGCAATCACCAGCCAAACACAAGGAGAGAAAAGGAAGATGGATGGAGATAATTTTTGGCGGTTGGGGTTTTTTTTTAAACATAAGCTCTGCTTTTCAGATAGTGTTAATGCTGCGCATTCAAAGACACAGTGCAACACAGAGGACTGGTACACACCCTAGGCCAGCCTTGGCATGAGCTGTACCAGATTTTGCTGCTCACCTCTCAGAGCAAGGCGTTGACTTGCCACTGCGTAGACTTTGGGTTTCAGCTTCTGAGCCTGTGTTCCTTTCACCTTCATATTTTGCATTTGCAACTTCTCCTTTGGTAACCGTCCTAATTACCTTCCTGATGAAAACAGGGAATAAAAGATTTTAAAAGTTGTCAGATTTCTCCCAGGAAACAGCTGCCTGACTGAAACACTGCGATGTGTGTACTCCATTAATTTCACCTGTCTGACCTACAGACAGCTCTGGATATAAGGGTCAATAGCACACCAAATCTGGCTATCAAAGTGATTACTATGAACAAAAAAAAACCCACAAAAACCCAACAAAACCAAAAAAAAAAATCATATTTGCTATAAACTGCTTTTTAAGACACAAAATATTAAAACATCCCTCCTACTCAACATGGCCACTTCAAGCTTTGAACCAGAAGTGCCTTTTGTGAAAATTCCTCTATTTTATTTTTTTACATTAGTTTATGAACAGCCAAGTATTTTTGACTAAGTATGTGTATTTTCCCCCAGAAAATGACATTATATGTATTTTCTCTTAAAGATTTCTTTGCAATTTCTATAATTATATGCATCATTACCCCAAACATGCTATGTTCCCAAACCATAACATCACCCCCTTACCCTGCAACACGTGACCTAATAAGAAAAAATGAAAGAAAGAAAATAAAGTTTTGAAAAGTAATAGTATTCTTCATAGTCTATTGTCGTTTGTAAATCTAAGTTATCCCACAACACTAAGCATCAGTAGGAGTTTGCCCCAAAATGGCTTTGCTAAAACAAGTCCGCTCACGAGATGTATGAGAGTGGAACCTGAGGTAGGAAGAAGCAGCAAGGAACAAAGAGGAGGAGTAATGAACTACTTCTAAGAAAGGCTACAAAACATACTAGGAAAAGCAAGTCTTAATACTCGTAGGATTAAGTTTCTTTTATGGGGAACATCACCGTCAAAAAACATTTCTGGCCACAAACTGAAAAATGCTGGACACCAGTAAAATAAACAACAGATAATTAATTAAATTAATGAATAATTTAATTAATTAAAAAAATAATTGTTTCTCATAGGGGAATATGACTAATAGATTTACATAAAGGATTTAGATGAAAAGAGGATTACGAAAGTAAACTTGCATTCACTCTTACTATATCTACCAATTAGCATGATTTAGAGCAACACTTAGATCCTATTATAGTAGATTCCCTAAGCTGGTTCTTTCTTCACCTTAATCTGAGAAGCCAGAGGCATTCTGATGCTCTTTGTCCCCAGTACTAAAGAGCGATAAATCATTCCTGTTAATTTCTGGAGTCACCGGAACAAGTAATTCCATACTCAGCTCTCCTCAGAAGTAAAAAAGCTGCAGAAAGCTGTCTACCTACCCTGTATTTAGGATCCATAAAAAAATGTGTTCTTTCTTCCAACAGAAACAAAGTTTTCCAACTACCACCCTTACCATCAACATTCATCCGATTTTTCTTCCTTTTCACCCAACAGCCTTAAGTTACATCCAGACACCACTTGTGCAACCATATATTCAATGCATCTGTCCATTTTCGCTGAGAGTAAGCAAGGGGTCCTCTAAGGGCATAGCCAAAATGGGGTTACACACGTCACTGAGACTGCAAGATGACCAGCACCATATCTGTTTATTCACTGTCACATGCACAAAAAAGGGGCACTGCTTGACTGTTAGACTGCATTTGCACAGCTGGAAGATAACGGAAAACTTAACTTGTGAGCGGAACTGACCGTAAAAAAACCTCAGGCCTTCCAAATACTATTTTTTGCATTTGCTTCTTCAGCAAACCTGCCTTTAGGGATGCTCTGTTACTTCTGAGTATAAACAAGAAAAATCCAGGAGTAAAATTGCCTTTCTTCTGTTACCTTTATAGCTGAAGAGTAATTATTGCTACATTTCCTAGGAAACAGCAGTCTAATTACAGTAAGTATGCTTTTAAACGAAGGCTGTTTCTAACCCTGGGAAGTTTGAGGTTGATGTGGAACGCTGGAGAAACTTGAAAGAAAATCCATCCAGCCATATTCAGCTGTTATCCAATTTATCAGTTTCCAAAAGAAAAGGCTTTACCCTATCTTTCTAGGTCCACTGAAGACTGATTTATGCCCATTTGTGGAGGTGACTGATACATCTGGCCTTTCTTCTGCATTCTCTTGGGGTTGATCTTTAGATGTTCTTCCCTCGTCCTTACTGGAAACTGTATCTTCAGTGCGGGGGAAAGAAAAAGGAGTGAATGTTTGCACACAAAAGGCAGCACATGTCAAACAACCTACAAAACCAGATTTTCCATTTTTCAATATTAAGTAAAACCATATGACAAAATATCATTAAAAAAACCTTGGGGGGTTCTTTGGCTTTTCCTTTTAGTGAAAGAAATAAAAAAAACTTCAAGTATCATGAAATGTTTCTTATTATCAACTTGTCTTGAACTATGCTTCTGAATTTATTACTGCCAACATTTAATAACCAAATGGCCTGAAACATAATTTTGCAGTGTACAGTATTTTCTACGTTAAATGAAAGAATGCGTTACTAATTAAAAAGCTTGTTCAACTAGGAGCAAGGTGTGAGAAAATAACTTAAATATTTTTCAATATGTCTATCAAATAACAAAGTAACAAATCAAAAATACCCAATTTGACAAGCTGCATAATATCAAAACCCAAAGAACATTAGATACTCACAAGTGACAGCTTCTGAAGCAGAGCGATATTGACAAGATCAGCATTTTGTCAAGCAGTGAGCAGAGCGATATTGACAAGATCAGCATTTTGCCAAGCAGCATATTTGCACCAGGCATTTTTCCAATGGCAGTAAACCAGTCCCTATCCCGACGGCAGTAAACTGCTCATACCCCTCACTTGCCTACTGAAAGTGTTACATGTTACATCTGAAAACAGACTACCTGAATAACAGCTTCTGTGTGCAAAGTGAAAGAGTTAAATGAAGACTCTTAAACTAGTGGTCCTGTGGTACTATGCAAGACAGACACAGTACACTTGCTGGTTTTGGTCAAGACAACCAGACTGTTCACAGTATCTAAAAGTGCAGGGGCAATTTACTGGAGATATCTAGGCAAATGGAAAGTCAAGTGAGAACTAAGAAGTATCAAAAAGTCTGGATGTAGCCCATGATCCATCATACAGCAGAGGAGTTAACATTTATCTTTCCAATTTAGAGAGAAAAAGAAAAATGGAATACTTTTTGCACATCACCATAGAACGGTTTGGGTTGGAAGGGACCTTAAAGACCATCTCATTCCAACCCCCCTGCCATGGGCAGGGACACTTTCCACTAGACCAGGTTGCTCAAAGCCCCATCCAGCCTGGCCTTGAACACTGCCAGGGAGGGGGCAGCCACAGCTTCTCTGGGCAACCTCTTCCAGTGCCTCAACACCCTCACAGTGAAGAATTTCTTCCTAAAAATCACAAATAAGGAAGCCAAAGTTAAAAAAAGGCAGGGTTTAGATCTCTGCATACAGCCAAACTTCCCAGCAGGAACTGAGAATGAACTTTTAGAGCTTCTGCTGCTGACTTTGCAGCTGAATAATACTGTCCACTTGTTTGGACAGTGAGATTTTAAGCAGTTCTATCTCCACAGAGATACTTCTTCGTTCATCTATACCTTACCTTTCCTGTATATTAGTTGTTCACAAATCACTGCATAGTAATACCTAAATACGAAATTAAGATTAAAATACTGATTATACTTACACCTTCAACAGTGAAGAACAAAATACAGTACAAGTCAAACACTCCAGAAATAAAGTTTGAATGTACTAAGCATAAGCAAATCTCTCTTGTGGTCCCTACCTGGGAATTTGCGCAGGATAGATTGTCTGACAACATCGGTTCCAAGAAGATTTGATTGTTTGAAGCGCTTTGCTCTCTCTTCAAAAAACCATTCTCCTGTCACTATCCGTAGCTGTCTATATGGAGAAAAAGAAAAAAGCCAGAGAGAAATGAACATTAACAATCTTGGCCAATCAAAGCTACTCCTTAAACTTTTGGGTCATCATTCAACTGCCATGTTCACAAACTCTGGACAACATCTGCACAGTTCAAAATAAAGAGTAAAAAGATTGATTGCAAAGCTTGGGATAGTAGGACACGTAGCAGAGAAACAGTATCATCTTGCTTTGTGAATGAAAAGTAATTTTCGCTACATGGAAATTTACTTGGCAAAAAAGTGTTTCAACCACTTTTACCAGATTCCCATAGCAAACACGTAACATACTATCTCCCTAGTCCTTTGGACAGTGACCTGATCAACCTCACAGTTTTCAGTATCTCCAAAATGACAGGAGATGTAGAAACAACAACAGTGGATAGAGGGAGAAAAACGCCCACCAAAGCTCCTGCCAGCCAAGTCAGCAGTTCATGGACCCAACCTGGTTTTATATACAGTTCACTGCAAGCCTATATATATTTTTCATCTCTAAGTTTCATATGCTGCCACTCTATGTAGTCTCTTCACATGACAATGCCGTTACGAATTAGCAATGTGTCAGAGGTTCAGAGCAATGAACTTTTGTCTTTGTTACTGTTCTGGACAATGCTGCTTGTTCTGGTTTCCAATTGTCTTACCTATACTAGCAACAAAGAAATCCTGTACTGGCATTGCTGTTTTCCATTTCCATTTTTGTACTGATTGTTAGCCTTTTCCTGAATTAGTTTCATTATGGTAAAGCATCACCATTTCTACCGCCTCACTACATACAGTTGATGGCAAAAAGCTACTAAACACGAATACTCAAATAAAAATCAAACAAACAAACTAAAAAAACCCCAACACCATTAAAAACTGATGTAGCTCCAGACATGTTCCTGCTTACTTAATGCTTAGTAAGAAAACTTATTTCCAAACCTATACTGGAAAAGAAATCATCTAGTCTCTTGGGCATGAAAATTACTTCAGATGGATTTAGAGCCCTGATTAATATCTTTCCTCTTAAATTACTTTTGAGTCATGCCTGAATGGAGAGTCTTACTTGGGAAAATACTAAAAATTATAGAATAGGATCCTGCCATTGGTAAAAAGACTCTTAAGGTCACCAGTTCCTCCTAACCTATTAATGAATCATGCACCTTTGCATGAGTCATCTAAAAAAAAAAAAATCATCAAAATCCAGAACATGTGCCCACAAGCATAGAAATTGAAGGTTATTGGCTTATCTTGTTGTTGCAGACTCCTAGTGACAAAACCCCCTGTAATTCTTCATCACAATCAGCCAGTCATTATGCAAGACATTATATAAAATATCTACATTTCCACTCAGAATTTTTAAATTACTTTTGTTAGGCACAAACACTGGAAAGAATTCATTGCATTAGAGACTATGCATGGTCTGGCTAGGATGAAAAACAGGTTTTCTCTGAATGTGTATTTTACCATTCATTTACAGCACACACTTCTCTGTGCAGTTATTTTTATATTAAGGTTTACAGCAAATTTTACAGCAAGATTAATGCTTTATATCAAACATAAACCTTTCAGACCTTTGACTATGCCATCAGATTCCGTTGCAATATAAACGACATATTACACTGCAGTATGAATTACACGGTTCATTCATTTTTTGCCTCAGTTACTCCTGGGTTTAACCATAAAACTCAACAAGTGCCGTTTTCCCCTTGGATACAGATTTTATTCGTCCCCAGTATCTTACCAGCAATACTTAACTTGATCAAGGTCAGACAAGGCACTCCCCATCCCCTTACCCAGACAAGCACCTTCACCCTTCTCTGAGCTCAGGACAATCTGAAGGAGAATATGTGACCTACAGCCAGGGTTTCAGCAGCGTGGGAGGCTGCCCCACACAAAGCTACAGGCTTTTACAAGCAAAAACTTGTAAATATTTCCACTGAATTATTTCCCTGAACTGTGCCACCCGCCTGGGCTGCTGTGGTTCATGAAGGGGCAAACCCTCTGCCACAGGGCCCCTGGAGAGCCATCTCCTATACTTTCTGGCCAGACATGAACAGCAACGAGGGAACCTCTCTGGTGCCTCCTGCACCACAAACACCCAGGGGGCCTCAGTCTGGGTGGAATGGTGGCTGAGACTGGTGTGTCTGCTTGTTTTACCATATAGGAGTCTTCTAATCTGCTGTGGAGATTCAATCTTGCAGCAGCAGGATTAAGGGCTCAAGGAGGGTCACAGAGGCTGGAGAGATCCAAGGAGCTGCAGCCAAGGGAAGGATGATTGGGGCAGCTGTAGGAGAAGGCCAGGAAGGAAGAGGATGGAGGGCTGCTGGGCTGTGCCAGGAAAGATCAGTGGGGGTGCTGTTGATGAAGGGAGGAGGTCTTGCCCCAGCATCCATCCCTGGGAGAGGGTCTTCCTCTCCTCCTCCACTCCACTGCAGTATGCGTCACCCGCACCCTTAGAGCTCACCATCAGTCTCCCTCTCTTTGTTCCCACTCATCCCCTGTGATCCCAACAACCTTTCCTTTGCTCACTTTGGAGCAAAGCAGCCTGCCAGAGGGGAAGCGCTGGCGCCAGGTCAGGGAGCAAAGGACGAGTACCGTGGAGAAGGACTTTTCTCTTCCTCTTGCCATCCACTTCTAACAGTAACTACTGACCCCATACATAACTTCCTCGCAGTTGCATAAAGCTGTTCAGGGAAGAAATAGGTTAATCTGTTTGGGCAATAACAGTTAATCCCTATATCTTCTGGCAAATGATAAATAAGCAATCTACTTCTCTTAGTAATCTCTCTCTGCAGGCTGTAACCTGCCACCATTAAATAGCTCCTAATTATGTAGCTGGTGCCCTCTTGTTTTGCCAAGGAAGTTTGAGGTCATCACTGCATGCTCTGGCAAACACAAACCAGACCCCAAGGAAAGAGGAGGGTGTGAACAATCCCTTTTGCAGGCCTGAATGGGCACGCCAGCGTGACAGCCGCTACACTGATGGAGCTGAACCGTGTGCGGGTTCAGCTAACGATGGTAAACACAATTGCCCATCTTCTTCACCTGGCTGATCTTGTTAACCAGTAATAAGATCTACATTTTAAATTGAGATGCCAGCTCCTTGGCAGGACTACTTTGACAACTACACCCATTCTGCTCTGACTTCACCAAGAGAATCAGATCTGAGGTAAACCAGACAACTCCCTCAACTGAGGCACAAACCACAGCAAATAAAGGGAGTATTGCCTTGTTTTGGACAAGTGCTTCACCTTTCTAGCCAATCCTGTCATCCAGAGCAAAGAGGGGGAAAAAAATCAGCCATCAATAGCCAGCCATTGCAAGTGTCGCATGGAGTAAGTTTAGAGGCCTCAACCTTCACTTCAGACCTTCGTCCTTATTATCAACAACGTTACTGTCAATCTTGGGATGGTGACTTCAGCTGGCAGTCCTCTTTTGTGAAAACATCTTTACCCAACAGATCACCTCTACAAAAACCTTATGTTCTAATGAATAAGGCGAAAAGCCTTAAGCTTTGCCGCTTCAAATTTCTAGTGCACTAATATTGGATGTATTTTTCACATATACTGAACAACTCACAGAAAGACTAGTGTTCATGTTATCCAAATCATTCATACATGTCAGGATTACCTATTAAAACAATTTTTGTTCTACACATAAATAGAAATGAATTCAGCTTAAATGATTGCCTAAGTCTCTGACTCGAAGTTTGAATTTCATAATTGCGTTTGACATTCTGAATCAAAAATTGAAGAGCGAGACCTAAACAGTCTTATAATAATGTTATTTTCATGCATTTATAATTATGACAAAGGGAGACTGTCTTTCCTACTGAGATAGTGCTCCTTTCTTCTATTTCTGATACAGGACTTAAATGAACCCTTCCTATTTACATAATTGTTTGAGCGGGAAAAGGAACAAGGGCGTTTACTCAATAGTATGTCAAATCAGTGCTTGCAGGTTTGGTTTTTGTTGTTTTTAAAATGGGTCCAAGGTCTATACTGACTGTAAATCATGGTAAGCGCATGCATTTTCTTTACTTTCCTTTCTCAGTTTGCACAGAGAATACAAAAAAAAAAAGTGTTCTACCAAAACAGTGTCTAGACTGGCCTTCCAAGGTGTGCAACAGATGCTGAAGTCAGTAGCTTTAGAAAGAAGGAAAACCGTTATAAATTTCAATAGCGACAATTTTTATATGATTGCTCTTTCCTATACTCAGAATTACTAGAAAAATTTTAAAGAAAAATCACATTCAAGTAGCTAAGTTTAGTAGCAAATACTTTAGGTATCTGCTAAAGTCCTTATACATTAATTACTGATCCACCTACTCACATTATCATGTGAGAGGGAGCACATTACATTTTCATGCTGCTTCTCCCTCTATGATCTCCTACTAAATGGATTAACTTCACTAATGTGCTGCCTGGTTTAAAAATGGAACAAAACCTGTGGCCTACCCCTGCCAAAAACTTTGCTTGTTATTTTCCACTCTGTAATGGGTCTGTGTGGCAAGGTTTTG